CTCGCATGAGCCCCTACAACATGCAGGAGGCCATTTCGAAAAAGCGCTCCATGTCCTAGAAGACCTCCAACGTTAGGAAACATAGCTTTGCAAGGCAGATACCAGACTCGGGGAAGCAAAACATAGATAGCTGCCCTTTTAAAAATTGTTTTCAAACCCAATAAGGTTAACGGAATTCTTAGTTCGCTAATATCTGAACTGTTGAAAATGATTAGGTTTGCCTAACCTCACAAGGAATGGTCAATTGGTCGGTCCGGCCATTTGTAATGAGGTGTAGTCCGATGCACGCGTCTTGCGACGCTGAGCTCAAATCCGTTTTCGGTTTTGCCGAACGATTCTCTGAACGAAGTTACGAGGGATTCTTCTCACTGTGGCTATCTCACTGTGGCGCCCTCTACATCCCTGTCCCACTCGGCTCGCATAAGAAGAGCCGCAGTGCTTTTACTGCAGTGGGTAACGGTCTTGCTTCATAGGCGTGAGATCATATGTTCAGATCCTTGGCGATGTCGAACTTTGCATTTTTTCAAGGCTGCTCATACGAGCCCAGAAAGCGTTTATTGGTTATTCTGTTATGCGTTCTGTTCGTTCGTTCTGTTTTTACGCGAGCCAAGTGGGATAGGGGGACGTAGAGGGCGCCACAGTGAGAAGAATCCCTCGTAACTTCGTTCAGAGAATCGTTCGGCAAAAACCGAAAACGGATTTGAGCTCAGCGTCGCAAGTGCATCGGACTACACCTCATTTTGAAATGGCCGGACCGACCAATTGACCATTCCTTGTCAGTGGATTGTTAGATCAACCTGGATTATGCAAGCCATGGTTACCAACTACTGTGAAACGTTGTTTTCAGTACCACGAGAAGACGTGTATTCGGTTTGTGCCTCGGTCTGGCGGTGAACCTGATTATTTATTCATCGGGAAAGTGGACGGGTGAGTTGCAAAAAAGGGTAACAGCAGAAATCAGCAGTTATTCGGTCAATTTCAGCCAAGAGTCAAATGGAAGTGGAATTTTCTTTCAACCTTTACATGTTAAAAAATCATGATTCAATAAATGCTTGGAATTTTGAACGCACCTAAGTACTGGTCGTTTCAGTTGCTTTTCCGAAGTCGGTCGAACATCCGGTGTGCAGGTACTGTCGCTGGACAACGGCTGTATGGAATACGCCACGATCATCCACGAGATGATGCATGTCGTCGGATTTTATCACGAGCATGGTACGTAGGGATGAGACGAGGAAAACTATCTGGAATATCGGTATTAAGTTGGGCTAATGGTCCCTCACCCGGCACAGCGACTGCATACTCAGTCTCCTGCTTCACAGACTAATAATCCAATAGAAATAAGGGCGCTCATATCTTTGGGGGGGGGGAAGGGGAAGACATTCAAATATGGCCGATGGAAGGTGACACTAGGACTAAGCACAAGAGAGTGGAGAAACGCTGGGGAGAACACAAACTGCTCAGATCCTCTTCCAGAATCCCTTTTTCTCCCAATCACTGTAAATGGTTCACTCAATTGAATGTCCACCCCCCCCCCCCCCCTCCCCACCCAATGACAAGAGCGCCGAAATAAGTAGTACAACATTTAGAAGGGAAAGGGTTCGACTATAATCAGCAGAAAAAGCAGAAGAAAAAGAAGGCCCAATTTTACGAAATATTCAACCATCCACGATGAAAGCCCACAATGGCCGATGTCAGACTTTGCGATTGGAGCGATTTTGCACCAATTGCAGGAGCGACGGATCGCTTGAGCGATGCGAGCGACGGGAGATTTACACCGCCGACCACCGATAATTCGGCGCCATCAGTTCGTAAATCTCCCGTCGCTCGCATTGCGAGGCGACGGGAGATTTACCCTGCCGGCGAATACCAATACAACGGCACCGCTCGCGTAAATGTCCCTCGCTCGCGTGCAAAATCGCTCCAATCGCAAAGTCTGACATCGGCAATTTAAAACAGGCAGTTCTGTCATCCATACAGTACACGTCGTTATCAAGAAAAAAAAACCCTTGGCAAATGGCAAATTAATGGCCGCTATGATTCACTTCTCGCTAGACAGTATTGCTAGTCGAATCGCCGACAACTTCCCAGAACATTCTCAAACAGTGAAGTTAATGTCGATTGAATGAGTCGTTAAATAATACCATTTACAGAGCGGTGGGATCGCGATAACTTTATCGACATCATCTGGCAGAATATCGACAGAGGTAGGTTTGTCTTTACAATTACTCCAGAAGAAAGCAAAAACCCCGAGAAGAGAAATCGGCTCACAATTTACCGTTTTTTCTGTTTTCACAAGTTTTCGTCCAGTAATTCTAAGTGTCGCCAGCTTGTTGCAGGTGCACTGGACCAGTTTGGAAAGGTAGATTTGAGTAAAACATCTTACTATGGACAACCATACGACTACAAATCTATACTACACTACGGACAGTCTGGCATTCAGTAAGAACGGCTTTCCGACGATGTTACCGAAACAAAAATGTGGGTACTACGCTTTAACTCTTATGAAATAGGGAATTTGGTGTAAATGCTGAAAAAGACTTGAAAATGCACATGCACTAAATAACTGGGCTCTCATCACTAAGGGGGGGGGGGGCATTGTGATGCAACGTCAAGTGGCTGCCCTCACCCCCACCCCCTAGAGTGCCTTCATCCTCTGGCTCACAGGGTCCCGCAATTCGAGAAAACCTGTGCGCCAGGGGGAAGTGTAGGCAGTCTAGGGGGTGGGGGGTGAAGGCAGCCACTTGATGCCCCCCCCCCTTACTGGATGAGATCCAATAATTGCATACCTGATTGACTCAATAGTGCTAAGATGATGATAAGCATTGTTTGTCGCGGTCTATCGTATAATCCTTTGAAGTGTCGCTTCACTTCCCGGCAATTGATCGATTCGGTAAGATCACACGGCTCCGTAGGATAGCATCCGGAAAACAATGATGTAAATCAATACGCATATTTTGCATGAAATGCACCAATTTTTTAATTCTACTCAAGGAACTGTTTGATATGTTCTTTCACGTTCCGACAAGTACGAACAGGATTATAGCGAACCAGTTGAACTTGACATTCGCGACCCATCGTGGCGCAGGGTAAAATGGCACTGAAAACAGAAACGCACAGGAAATATTTTCTAGGGATACAAACGTGAGCGGATAAGGTGAGGGGAGGGGGTGAAGGTGGTACTGAAGCGCACGTTCTGTGTCACCTAGAGTTATGTGCAAGTTTCTGGGAGGGGGGGGGGGTAGGAAATTGAGGTGGTAAAAAGCAGCGAAGAGGAAGTGGTAGCGCACCAGTGTTGAGCTCCTGCCTGCGAAAAAATTACGATCTTTTGTAGCCGCCGGCAGCAACTATCGCACAACATGCCCCTCCTAATTATTGAAAGGGTCCCGATTTCCATTTTCTACTCGCTGTTTGCACAAAAAAACTAGTTTACTCTTCGAAGTTCCTCCGATGAAAATGGGTCCTACACTTGCGCATACCGCTGCCCTCATTCGGATAACGAGATCGCAAACGTCAGTAAACACTCTGGGAGGCGGAGTTAGTTTTGAGGCGGAGCCAGTTCTAGGTTGTAACTTAATTACCTTGTGCTGAACCACCGTTGAAAGTCTGCTCGCCTCTTTGTCTGCCCGCTCCCGCTCAACTCCGATGCAAATTGTACCTCCTTTGTGTATATCCTCACTTTCAACGCGCAATCTTAAAGGCGAAGTACGGGCTCAGACCTACTCAAGAAGCCCTTACCGTGGAAATAAGTGCTAGGTACGCGAGTGCAGAGGTCGCGCCACTTTTTTTTTACATCAAAAGGAGCTACTAAGACGGTAGACGTTAAGGACTTATAGCAGAGGAACAGTCATATGACGTCGCTTCTCACGGCGGGAGCACAGGCCCGCACATGCTCCGGCATCCTGCCTCGCGCCTGGGTAAACTCGTCTGATTCACGTGACTCCTCGGCTACCTCGCAATCGAGGAATCTTCCGGCGAAAAAGCTCGCGCTCCGTACTCAGAAGATCCTTTAGGTCCTTAGCACTTATGATCATAGCGAAAAGAAGGAACATAAGCTATATCGATATACTAATCCACACACAAAAAAACTCGACATATCTCCACCTCTCTTTTTTTTCTATTCACCCTCCGCTGGAAATCTTTAAAGCAACAGTCCGGAACGAATTTGCTTGCAAAAGAGGCACTAATAATCAGACGCGAGTGTTAGGTGAAAAGTGGTCGAACGTAAAGAGAAAAAGTGAAGAAAACGCCCAACTGGGGCTTAGACAGGGACATGCCCTGCCGTTTAGGGAGACGTGTGTTGGACGAGTTGTCCGAACCTGCCCGTAGTACATGCGCTTTAATTGCAACTGCTGGCAAATAGCTGCATGCTTGCAAATACATAACTATTTGCCAGCAATCGAAATTGAAGCGCTTCAATTGCGTTCTTATGGAATCGACCTCATACAGCGCGGCGGTCCCGCAACGATCGCTAGTCAAGCGCGGACTCTGCACAGCGTATGTTGGGCGATCCGCCTCTTTATGGGTGATCCGCCCCCTCCAAGAGGACTTCGACCCCTTCCAGCGCATTTTAGAGGTAGGTTTTGAAATTAAAGACATTTCCTATAAACTTTAGTTGGGCTGGGGCATGTTTTGACCGCCTAATGACCAAGTAGTTGAAACCCTGCCTGGACTGTTGCTTTAAGGTATGTTCTGTGGTCATGACCTCTGCGTCTTCAGTGGCATTCTTTTCAACTACTAAGATCTTCGTGATTGAATACAGATCTTATTTGGGTCACAAACATCTCTCTGTGTCTCAAAGATCTAAAAAAGTACGAAGATAGTTTCTGCCGGCCCGATGTCAAATCAAAGACCAGAAATTGTGCAATTGCAGAAATTGACGTGGCATTAACGTGGCATCGATTCAAGAACATCTTTGAGCACACGTGATGTCACCTTTTCATCGAGAATTTTCAGTGTACTCTGTTTCATGCAGCCAGAAACCCACGTGGCACACGTGGCTAAATTCTCGATGAAAAGGTGACATCACGTGTGCTCAAAGATGTTCTTGAATCGATGCCACGTTAATGCCACGTCAATTTCTGCAATTGCACAATTTCTGGTTATTGCAAAATTTAGTCGCCACGGGGATCGAACCCTTAACAGTACCTTATGCTTCTTTTTTGGTACTGCTATAACCGTTCAGCGAAAATGAAACATGGTTTTGCGTTCCCTACATGCGTCCCTACAATATGCACAAAACCGTTTTGAAAAAGCGCACCTTGCCCTGAAAGACCTCCCTTGTGAGAGGCCTAGTTCACCAGTGACGTTCAATGGCGTCATCAAAACCATACCACCCTCCAGCAATCCCATCACCTTTCAAGAAGTTCGAGCTAGAATTGTTACTTTTTTCAAGAACAGATGCTTCTTAAAAGCCGCGCCCACTTTTAGACCGTACAAAGCCACTTGTGTAGCCTGAGGAAGAAATCAAAAGAAGAAGCTGATCTGGTTCTTCTCATTTTTATTGTGTTTTGAACGGTCAGTAGAAGGAATTTGTTTGAAAGCCTTCACCGAAGGGCACCCATCGCTCATCCTGGCTTTTCTTTTGAAACCATGAACGTGTCTAGTCCTCTCAAAGTTCACAGAGGAAAGCGCAAGAAAATTTGCGGTACCGCGACCGGCCTTAAACCGCGTGTGGCGCTGTCACATTCAGTTCCATTTATTTTCACCGCAACAGTGATCTAAAAGTTCGGGCTTGCGCCGCGTACAAAACCAAACCCCACCATTCAGCAATTATCAATATCTCTGGGACGCGCTAGTAGCCTTTTGAACGCGATACAGCCCATAAAATGACTTGCGGAGAGCAGTCGTTGTACAACTCAGTGCCGGAAAGGTGGTAGGCTTGGTTGACGTGGACAGCGTAATAACTGACAGCAACGTGTATTTGGTCTATATTGCGACTAACAGAAATTATCTATGTCCAAGGTTTTTTTTTTCGATTTTCAATAAATATACCGGCTTCAGTGGCAGTGGTGTAGGGGTAAGTGGCTCGCTT